AAGACCCTCTATTAGGTGGATTGATTCAGTGACTGGGATAATTGGGATGGGAGTGTCAGAGACAGTGCGATTGGCACAGGACAGAGCAGAGTTTAGGGATGTTGTACATAGGGTCGCTATGAGTCGCAAGCGACTCGACGGCACATAACAACAACAACAACAACATGTGTAGTAATCAACTTTATAGTAATGCTATTTTTTAAAAAAATCTTTATATATGATACCTTAATATCATCACACAACTAGTCCCCATTAGTGTTCAACCTTTCCGATCTATTCTTGAGATGGTCTCTAAATTCAAGGCCATACTTTAGCTCTTGTACACTTGTTTTGATTTTCTTTAGCTTCAACTTGAATTTGCATTATAAGTAATTGATAATCAGCTCTGCAGTTGTTTCCTGGCCTTGCTCCAATGGATAATATTTAGCTTCTCTATCATCTCTTTCGATTGATGTAGTAAAGTTGATTCCAGTGTACTCCATATGGTAAGGTCTACGCCTACCTTTTCTTGAAAAAATATAAAGGAAGAACACAGGGAACTCTCATTTCCTGGTGGTCAGGAGTTGCCCTGTCAACCCCAAAACATGCAGTTCATGTCCATCAGCTGTTTTAAAGGAGCAAGATGGGCAATCTCCTCTCATGTGGTTTACAGCATCTGAAACCTGCTGGAAGGTCAGCTATGAGTGAATTCTGACTTGATGGCACATCACAACAACAATAACAAGAACTGATGATCTACTTTGAAAAGTCTTAGTGAAAACTTAAAAAATAGTGGTAGAGCACTATTGGATACAGTGCTGGAGGATGAGCCCATAGGTAAAAAGACAGTAAAAATAAGATTGAGAAAGAGGGCTGCCTCTTCAAGGAGAGTCTACCTTATTGATGTGAGCAGAGTTGAGCTTTTGAGACCTTCACTTGATGATGTGCCACAACTCAAAATGAGAAGAAACAGCTGAAAATGTCCCTTAATAGTCAGGATGTGGAATGCAAACAGTATGAGTCTAGAGAAATGGGAAGTTATAAAACATGAAACAGGATGCATAAAGATCAGTATCTTAGGTATTATTAATTGGCTGAAATGGGGTGGTACTGGCCATTGTGAATTGAACAATCATATAGTCTACTATGTCAAGAATGACAAATTGAAGAACATTATCACATCCATTGTCAAAAAGAAAATTTCAACTTTTATCCTGAAGTACAACACTGTCAGCGTTAGGATAATAGCCAAATGCCAAAAAGGAAGACCAGTTAATAAGACTATTATTCAAATTTATGCACCAACCACTAATATCAAGGAATAAAAATTGAGGAATGTAGGTTCCTACCATTTTGAACAGTCTGAAATTGATCAAATATGCAATCAAATTTTATTCATAATTACTAGTGATTGGAAGTTAAAAGTCGGAAAGACTAGTAATTGGAATATATGACTTCATCAATAGAAATGACACCAGAGATTGCATGGTCAAATTTTTCAAGATCAATGATCCATTCAAATAATAGAATAATAATTATTATTTTTTCCACATGCCAGAGGCATAATGGACACATAGAGAGAGGAAGTCTACAGAGTCTTAGAGAAAACACAGGAATAAAGCAAGAAATTCAGATATAATGTCTTATCATTAGGCCTTGGGGTGAAAATGTTGTGGCACTTTTGATATCCACATTAAGACAGAAGCTTTCAGAAATGGGTGAGTAGTTTGGTTAGTTCTGCTGTGTCTTTCCTAAAAAACACTAGTTCTAAACCTTTGCTAGGTTCAGAACTAATATTTCTGAACAAGGATTTTCTCTTGCCCAGAAAGTTATATGTGTTCTGTGCTAGCTGTCGGTGGTCCTGACCAAGCAAGCCTACTGCAGGTGATTTAGCGGGTGATGTTCACTGTAACAGGGAGTTTAGGTGGTTTTATGGTAAGGAATTACATTGCCAACACAAAGGTACATGGTTCGAATCCATCACTTTCTCCATGGAAGAAAGATGGGAAATCTCTTCCCATGCGATTTACTGCCTCTGAAAACTCACTGGAGGGTCAGCTATGGATTTTGACTCTCTAGTACACAACACCAGCCTGCCCTATAATTGAAAAATGAAGACACAGGCATTGCTCTAACCAACTAGCTGTGTGTGCCTGGCCAGACTGAGTTTCTTCATCTCTAAAACAGAAATAGTAATCCCCCTTTAGGACCATCTTCCAGTAGACCCTACCACACAGGAGGACCAAGGGGATTATGTGGAACACTGGGTTCAAGAGCTTAGGGCAAGTGAGGGGCAGGAGTTGCTCCCTGCTCCTCACCCTCGCTCACCTCTTTGACTCTGTGCAACAGTGGCTGGAGCCAGTCCCGATTCACTTCACAGTGGCTGTCAAGGAAAGTAAGAGTGGAACCTTGGGCAGCCTCAGCACCCCGAATACGGGATCGAACCAGACCTGCAGTCAGAGACAAATGACTGAGTGAGTCTAAGTGTATCTCCACTGCCCAGTAAGATCATGGAAGAGTAACATTGTCCTACACCCCATAAACACATACATAAACACTCCCAGTCTTCTACCTCAACGCACGCACACCAAAGTCCCTGACCAGCAGCACTCAGCCCAGACCAAACCTACCTTGTCGCTCATAATTGCGTAGGCATTTCACTTTGGGCAACTTGATCAGCAGTTTGCAGTCATCAGCTGTAAAGACAAAGGTCATTTTGGATGAGTATCTGGGGACCCATGTGCAGGACAAATTGTGCACTGCAGGTGAGCCTGAAGCACAGGTAAGGCAGTACACTGTTCTTCCTCCCTCCACAAAGCCTGCCTTGATTCAGAGTCTCTGCGCTTTGGAAGGGCGGCCTGAATACTGTTTTCATATGAAACTGTTCACTGGGTGTAAAGTGGCTGAAAGTTGGCCTCTTTGGAGTAGGTTAGTCACAAAGTGATAATTACATGCGTGAAAGTATTTTGAAATGGGAATATAGCTCCTTAAAAGAATGCTTTAAGAATCCTACTCATTGTAGCCAGGGTGTGGTAATGATATACTAGGAAGTCAGAGAATAAACACAGTTTTAGCGTTTGCTTCAGAGTACGGATTCTTAACATAAGAGATTCTTTTTTTATGAAAAATTTACTTTTTGTTATTGTCAAGATTATGCACAGAACATATACCAATTCAACATTTTTTATGTAAAATTTAGTAGTTCTGATTACATTCTTTGAGTGTGCAACCTCAACTGAAACTTGGAGTTTGCAATTTTCACCCTCTTTTTCTAAGGTATTCCTCCATAATTAACATCAATTCACTGGCACATAAGCTTCTCATTTAATCTTCTGAGGTGTTGTCATGTGGATCTCTTATAGGGAGATCTAAAAGAGCACAATATGCAAGGCAGGAATTTTTTATTAGTTAAGCTAAAGATGGACAATGACTAGGGATGATAGATGATACCTTTGGTCTGTGATGCTAGAGAAAAATATTGAAATATACATGGACAGCTAGGAGAACAAACAGGATCATCCTGAAGAGAGTGAAACCAGGCTACTCCTTGGAGGCAAGGATTCGGAAGCTTTGTCTGAAATACTTTGGACATGTTGCAAGGAGTCACCAGTCCTTGGAGAGGGACAACATGCTTGGGAGGGTGGAGAGACAGCACAAGGGAGGAAGATCCTGGATGACATGGATCGACTCAGTGACTGGGGTAATGGAGGTAAATGTTTCAGAGGTGATGGGTTCAGAGTTGTTGTACTGATGGCACATAACAACAACAACAACAACAAACTACAGATTAAAGAACCATCAAAACTGTCAATGATTTCATTTTACTTGGATCCATAATTGACATCCATGGTAACAAGTCATGAGACCATGCTGTCAGGGACCTCTCTATAGTACTGAGGAGAAATGATGTTAGTTTGGTGTACCTAATTTAGGCTATGATTGGGCCTGTGGCTCTTGGACCTGATTTTAATTGTTTTTGGTTAAACATTCTTCTAAGTGATATAGCCCTGGCCTGTCCATTTGCTGTACAAAGGTAACTTGTGGTTGCTGTGATGCTAAACACTGTGACAGTGATGTATCAAATGTGATAATGGTTACTCATGGTGGACAGTGTTTGGTGGCGCTCCCTGATTAAAACAAGCTTGGAAGCAGAAATGGTATCCACTTCTGAAATAGTTTGTCTCTAGAAACTCTATGAACTTGGAGAAATTATGAAAGTTATATAATTTTTCAGGCCTTTCATTCATAGGGTCACTATGAGTTGTCTACAACTCAACGACACTTAACAACAACAACAACAATAATGCATCTACTTCAATGCTTCAAGCTTACTCGTAAGATGATCTTGAAATTCAGATGGAATTGTTTCAAGATCATATCTTGGTTCCTGTGACTTATTTTCATTTTCTTCAGCCTCAATTTGAACCTATATATGAGCAGTTAGTGGTCTGACCCACAGTCTCCCCTGGTAGTCTAGTTTTGACTGCTGATATTGAGCTTCTCCAATGATTTCTCCACAAATGTATTAATCTGATTCCTATTCAACCCATCAGATGGGAGTCATGTGTAAAGTCATCGTTTGTGTCTTCTAAATAAAGGTATTTGCAATGAATACATCATCGTAAAAACAAAATTCATTCTACTTCCAGCCTCATTTCTATCACCAAGCTTATGTTTTCCAACTGCCATCCCTTCCTCCTGTTTTCCACTTTTGTATCCCATTCACCAAACATCATTAACACATCTTGATTGTATGTTCAATCAATTTTGGACTGCAAGATTGGATAAAAATTCTCAATTTCTTCCTCTTGTAGATGGATGTAGGAGTGTATATTTGAATAATAATCATGCTAACAAGTCCTCCTTGTATGTGTGTGGATATTATGCTACCACTCAAAACATTGTATTTCAAGCTCAAACTTGATATTGACTTTTTTACTATGAATGCAACACCATTCTTCTGTGTTTCATTCCCTGCATAGTATACCACCTGATTATCTGATTCAAAGAGGCCAAAGTTGGTATAGCTCATCTCACTAATACCTAGTATGTTTATGTTCGTGCATTCCATTTCACCTTTAATAACTTCCAGTTTTCCAACATTCAAGCTGTGCACATTCCCTGTTCTAATTATTAAGAAATGGTTTTTTAAGTTGTTTTTCCTCATTTCCAATCTGGGTTCCACCACTACACTCTAAGTAACTGTCCTCGTTCCTCTAGTATTCATAGGGTTTTCAAAGGCTGAATAAAGAAGGATCCTGGTTGAAAGTAAAGAATACCAGGAGAATGTCTATTTGTGCTTTATTGACTATGCAAAGGCATTTGACTGTGTGGATCATAACAAGTTGTGGCTGACATTGAGAAGAATCGGAGTCCCAGAATACTTAATTGTGCTCATGTGAAACTTATACCTAGACCAGGAAGTTGTTGTTCGGACAGAGCAGAGGAACACTGCATAGTTTAAAATTAAGAAGAGAATGTGTCAGGATTATATTCTCTGTCCATACCTGTTTAATCTGTATTTTGAGCAAATAATCCAAGAAGCTGGATACTATGAAGATGAATGTAGCATCAGGTTTGGACGGAGACCCATGAATAGCCTGAAACAACTTTGCTTGGTGAAAGTACGGAAGAATTAAAACACTTGTTGCAGAAGAACAAGGAATGCAGCCTTTGGTAGGATTGCATCTTAATGTGAAGAAGACAAAGATTCTTACCACTGGATCAATAGGCAGCATCATGAAGGATGGAGAAGAGATTATAACTGTCAACAACTTCATCTTGCTTGGATCCACAATTTACATTCTTGGAAACAGCAGTCAGGAAATAAAGAGTTGCACTGCACCGGGAAAATATGCAACTAGGCACCTCTCCAAAGTACTGAGGAATAATGACATGAGTTTGAAGACTAAGGTGTGTCTGAATTAGGTCATAGTCTTTCTGATAATTTGCTATGCATCTGAGAGCTGGACAGAGAATAAAGATGGCAGAAGAATTGATGCCTTTGGGCTGTGGGGTAGGAGCAGAGCACTGAACATCTGAGAAACATGTCTTTGAAACAGTTAAAACCTAGTTCTTTTAGAAGCAAGAATGATGAAGCTTCATCTCATTTACTTTGGGCATGTTGCTATGAGGGGCTATTTCTTGGAGAAAGAAATGATGCTGGGAAGGGTGGAGGGTTGGGGAAGGAGAGGTAGACCCTCCACCAGGTGGACTGACATGTGGCTGCCACAATGGGCAATTGTGTGTAAGAAAGTGTGACGATGGCACAAGATAGAATAGGGTTCATTTCTTTTGTTATGAGTCATACTCAACAGTACCTAACAACAATGACAACACTATGCTTCAGAGAATTGGACAATGAATTAGGATGACAGACAAAAAATTGGCACCTTTGAACTACAGTGCTGGAGAAGAGTACTAAATATCTCATGGAGTGCCAAAAGAATAGATTTGTCTTAGAAAAACTCCCTTCAGAATGCTTCTTTGAGGCAAGGATGGTTCAGCTTCATCTCACATACTTTGGGCATGTTGTTAGGAGAAGCTATTTCTTGGACAGCGACATCATGCTTGGAAAGGTCAGTGAAAGAGGTGAAGATCCTTAACAAGATAGATTTACACAGTGAATGCAGCAGTGAGTTCAAGTGTGTCAGAGATGATGAGGATAGGACAGGACAGCCTTCAGATCTGTTGTTGATTGAATTGATAGGATCGCTTACGTTATATTTGACTCGATAGCACCTAACAACAAGCTATTGTTTAGATCTAAGATGACTTGAGGGGACATTTTAGTTTAAAGATTATTTCAGAGCAATAGTTTCAGGGGTTGATCCAGGTTTCAATGCTTTAGAAAGTCTGGAGTCCATGCAAATTTTGTTCTGTCCTACATTTCTCCCCTTTTGATTCCCTAGATAACCTTTGATTAAAATGTTCAATAATGACTGCCAGGCACTATCCAGTTCTACTGGTTTCATGAGAAAGGAGGTAGTATTTATGGAGGTAATGAAATACACTCTGTTTCTGACTACTATCTTTGACTCTTCTTTCTTTGTTGTTTCAGACAGAGACTAACTGTTGCACATTGAATGGCTGCTTGCAAACTTTTATAATCTCAAGTATTATGCACTGAACGGGATGTAAAACAGAAACACTTGAACACATGTATTAAGTCAATTAACTTGAATAATCCATAAAACCATAACCCTGTACTTCCAAACAAGATAACAAATTACATGAGCTGTTCAAATGTACATACACAACCTCAGTGGCTACATGATGTCATTTATTATATAATTTTGATAATTCAACCTGTTGATATACAACTTACTGACATTTAGCAATAACATTGATTGGTTGTCCAAATCAAACTTTAATCAATGTGATTTTCCTCCTATCATCATAAACGGAAACTAATTATTCCACAGTCATAGGTTACATGTTGGATTGGTGGTTTAAACACATTATCCACTCCTTGGGGAAAAAGATGAGGCAGCCTGCTCTCACTAGGATTTATAATCTTGAAAACTCAGTGAAGGATCACCACTGAGTTGTGTAGAAAGAATAAGAACTGTATGGAGTGGCTATATCTGGCTTTTAACAACTTCACAAAGGGGAACTGTCTCCATCAACAGCATTAATAACACAAAACCAATTTCTATGAGGGAAGACATGTCCCCCATATTCCCATACCTCTTTC